TATTTGTACTTCGTTACTTCCCATCTCTGGTTGGCGATTATTTCAATCATCGATTAATCATGAATAATCTCATTAATTGTTTCAGCAATAATGCATTCACATCACTCATTAAGAAAGTATTTTGGTGAAAACATGCATTAAATCCCAATAATTAATCGAATGGATTCCTAAACAAGTTGTTTGTTAGAGCCCTTCTGCTAGTCTGAGCTTTATTACTGTGTCTTGTGGTGCAGCTGTTATTCACGGTAACTTTGTCTATCTTTTGTTATCAAGTATTTCTGTGCTACTAGGCTTTAAAGAGGCTTCTCTGTCCAGGATGACGCTCCCTAAATAAAATGGTTGTTATAGTCAGACCACTTGAATACACTGCAGTCAAACAGAATCACGTATTTGATTTCTGATCGGTACCCGTCTCATTTAGCAGGTCTTGGAAGAACTTCTGGTTATAGATTCGAGCCACTCCGCTGATCTCCGGCACTTGGGCCTCAGCCGCTGTGTTTCCGTTGATAAAATTGGCTGTGATGCCGATAGCCAGCTTCCCTCTCATCTCTTTATGCTTAAAACCTGTCAGACAGGAAGGAGAATAAATGGTTTTAAAAAGAACGTTTTTTCTTTTAAGGTGGCGGTCAACAACAAATAGAGCGTCCTGTTTAAACTGGTTCCTGTTTGTTTTTCTTCCTCACCATCAGGGACGAACCTGCCTCCCCCTGCAGAGATAAAAACATCAAACTGGAAGGATGCAGCAGGATTAGACTGAGGCTGTAGTTTGGCCATCCAACCTAAAGAGAAACATCAGTCAGTTCACCAGACTTTCAATTACAGCTGACTATTTAACTAAAAGTTCCTTAGTTTTTGTATATAATGCAGAAAACGCTGCTAAATGAGCTACCTTTATCCCCAGAGGGCTCGATCAGGCCTTTGTACTCCACTCCGGTGTGAACCTCCACCCCCAGGAGGAGACATACTTTCAGCAAGATCAACTGAAGCTGACGAATGCCTGAAACAAAACAAATGTTAGCAGCAGAAGAAGAGAAAAGACCGTTTTCATCATTTCTATACATCAAAAAGGGAGAAACTTATGATTAAACACATATTTTTTTTCTTCAAAGACACATTTTTTATGATTTTCAAAATAAAAAAAATCTTTAAAGACAAAATTATATCTATGAACTATGGAGCTAAACTGGTGTCATAAATTCCATTAAAAAATATTTTTTTACTGAATTAAAGTATATAAAACTGAAGGATAATTTTAAACCAGGAAAAAAGATAAAACTAAATGACTATATTCAAGATTAAATTTAAATAAAAACAAAAAAGTGATTATTTTTTAAATGAAACAATTTTGTTTGTACAAAAAAAGAGGAAAAACCTAACTATTAACAATTTTTTTTTTTTATTAAACACAAAAATTCTTTGTTTCAAAAATGATTTTGATCCAATGAATGATCTTCATGGCCAAAAATATTTAGACCTAGATTCTGTTCATAAACAGAACGGAAAATAAATCTCAGTTTGAAATTGTTTTTGCAGTTATTAAAAAGCTTTCACACAGAGTTTATGGCTGTACTTTCATCCCATAAAGAGGTAAAACGTGGTCCATCGTTTAGGGGACCTTTGTAATGGGATAGAGCGTCATATCATTCATCGCTATTTTTATTTTGTGTTTGAAGCTTTCATGTCAGAGTTTCCTTCGTTCTGAACTTTTTATGGGTTAATGGCTCTACCACAAAAAAAAATTATCCTTGATAGCATTTCTAATATCAAAGGTCAAAAGAAAAGTCAACATTAGGATAGAGATTATTGATAAAAATTAAGACATGCAGCAAGTAATATGATGCTAAACCTGATTTACGACACTCTTTGTAAATTGGTTCCTGTTATCGGGTAAGATAACTGTTAAAAAAAACAAAAAAAACTGTTTTGGATGCCTGAATCTGTAAATCAATAACCGAGACTAAATTTAAGGTCTGCTTCTAGATGTCAGGTCATCCATATAGGTGACATTAGAAGTTTAATCTGTGAGAATATAAATTCAGATTATAGGAATACAAGTTTGGAAAAGTACAAGTAGGAATCTTCAACCCCTGATGAAGATGTTACACTCCATACCAGCAGGTGGCGGTAAAGCACCAGAAAAAATATTCCTCATCCACCATTAAAGAAAGAAAAGGAAGACTAAAACAAAACATTGATCGATGTTATGCTGTACATTATTATTAAAAATCGAATAATTGATAATTTTCAGAAAAAATCATAACGATAAAATTGATGATAAAAACCCTCTTAGTTAATTATTTAAAGTCATTCTTAAGTAATCATCATTAAGTAGCATCCCATAGTAACTGCAGTTAATCATTATTCGGTTCTTGAAATTCTGCTTTGAATGTTTACCTCTGTAGTACTACCTCATAGGTAGGTAGGTAACCTGCTGAAAGTGTAATCTACCTGCACTGCATGTAAAAAACATAAAAAATTTGTTGATCATTCTAAACAAAAAGAATCATGGCAGAATTAAACTTGGATGAAATCAAAGTAGATCAACAAATCAACGATCAGGCCTTCTAATAAGACAACCATAAAAGAGAAACAAAATATCCACGGAGCTGGAACTGATCTTAAACCAACATGGAGACCCGATACTGACATCACTGATAGAACAGACATTTTTAGACAGGACACCAATCCGTCCACCAATGCAGACATTATAGCTGTCATATTATGGGTTTAAACTTATATCCAAATTGACAAAACAGGGTTTACTTGTAACCTGACTCCGCCAGATGGATTTGCTCTGCATATCCATCTGGAAACCTTCCGTTG